GTACTTGACGCCGAGAGGCTGCGGTGATGGGTGTTGTAAGCCTTATAGTGAGCTGCGGGGATGGGGTATGGTGTTGCTGGTATTGGAGTGAGGTGTGGAGGCTGTGGTGGTGATTATGGTGTTGTCGATGTTATTTTGATCTTTGCAGAGCTATGGTGATGTAGTAAGGTGTTGTGGTGACGTTGAGGAGCTATAGAGAAGAGATATAATGTTGTTATGATTTGTAAAGAGCTATAGGTAATGGAACCTGGTGTTGTAAGTATTGTGATGAGCTGTAGGGGGCAATGGTGATGGAGTATGGTGTTTAAACTGTTGTGATAAGCCGTGGTGTGGCTAGAAGTTATGAAAAGGTATGTTTAGCTGAGGTACACTATCATAAGGTGTTGTGGACAGCGACGAGTTGGAAGAAATGTGGTGACTTGTGATTTATGGTGAAAAAGTGGTGCGCTGTGTTCATCTGAGGTGAGCTCCGATGAGCTCTGACTAGTACCTGGAGAGCTGTGGTAACACAGAGTGAGTTATGGTGAAATGTAGAGCTCAAAGTGGGAGTCTAAATTGTGGTTATATCGATCACTTATAGCGTTTTGTTTTTATGATGCATAGAAGTTATGAATGAGGTATTCGTATTATGTCCAAACGTTCTGGATTGTAAACTTTAGTGAGTTATAATATATATATATATATATATATATATATATATATATATATATATATATATATATATATATATATATATATATATATATGTACACACACACACACACACACACACACACACACACACACACACACACACATATATATATATATATATATATATATATATATATATATATATATATATATATATATATATATATATATATATTGGTTGTACAGAGTGAAAGATAAAATGTCGTTGTAAGTTGTAAAATTGATAACAACCATAACTGTTTTGGTTGTGATTTCCCTTTCCACAACAGCGGTTATGAGTGTAATAGTGTAAATTGGTGTTATCAAGAAATTCTTATTAATCCTGTAATCAGTATATAATACCATCACCTCTGGATATTTGAAATAATAATAGTGATGATGATAATAATGTTGACAATAATAATTATAATATCGACAATAGTAGAAGTAATAATAATAATAATAATAATAATAACAACAACAACAATAATGATAATGATAATAATAATAATAATAACCTCTCAACAACCTCTCCTCTGTACCTCTTAACCACCCAAATCCATCTATATTTACCATACAACAAAGGTCTTAATCTCTCTCTCTCTCTCTCTCTCTCTCTCTCTCTCTCTCTCTCTCTCTCTCTCTCTGTCTGTCTGTCTGTCTGTCTCTCTCTCTCTCTCTCTCTCTCTCTCTCTCTCTCTCTCTCTCTCTCTCTCTCTCTCTCTCTGTCTCTTTCCCTCTCTCTCTCTCCCTCTCTCCCTCTCCCTCTGTGCTGTGTGGTGCAGCGGTAGCGATCTCGTCTAGCAATCTTGCTGACCTGCGTTCGAATCCCTCGCCGCCAGTGGATGGTAACCCCGGCCATTCCTTGCGCACAGGGGATAATTTAGAAGCAAAATAAAACAGACACTATGTCACACCAAGAATATCCATTGTAACAAATGGAATCAAACTCTCTCTGTCTCTGTCTCTGTCTCTCTCTCTCTCTCTCTCTCTCTCTCTCTCTCTCTCTCTCTCTCTCTCTCTCTCTCTCTGTCTCTTTCCCTCTCTCTCTCCCTCTCTCCCTCTCTCTCTCTCTCTCTCTCTCTCTCTCTCTCCTCTCCTCTCTCTCTCTCCCTCTCTCTCCTCTCTCTCTCTCTCTCTCTCTCTCTCTCTCTCTCTCTCTCTCTCTCTCTCTCTCTCTCTCTCTCTCTCTCTCCCTCCCTCCCTCTCTCTCTCTCTCTCCCTCCCTCCCTCTCTCTCTCTCAAAAAAAAAAGAAAAACAGGTAATCGCTGTCGATAGGAACGGCCGTCAGTTCCCTCATTTGGAAACCTATTCGCATCTGCCTTATAATTCTTCTTGACGTCAAGCCTTCCGCGGGCGAGTCTGAGAAAGAGGTGCGTGGAGGGACTGCGTAATGGTGAGGGAGGGAAGGGATGGGGGGAAGGGAGGGAAGGGAGTGAGGGTGGGTAGGAGGGAGGGAAGGGAGGGAAGGGAGTGAGGGTGGGTAGGAGGGAAGGGAAGGAGGGAGGGAAGGGTGTGAGAGAAGGGAGGGAAAGGGAGGTGGGTGGGAAGTGGGAAGGAGGGAGGGAATGATGGAGATGGGAGGGAGGGAGTGAGAGTGGGAGAGATAATTTGTTTTGAGGTTCAAATAAAGTGGTGGAAACGGAGGAGAAAAAGAAGTATGTATGTATGTATATATATATATATATATATATATATATATATATATATATATATATATATATATATATATATATATACATATATGTGTGTGTGTGTGTGTGTGTGTGTGTGTGTGTGTGTGTGCGCGCGTTTATTTTTATACGTGTGTCTATGTGTGTCTATGTGTAAATATGCGCACACATGCATACATACATATATTTATGTAAGGGGTAAAGTGAGAGGAAGAAAGAACGAGAGAGAGGAAGAAATAGAGAGAGGACATATATACAGACAGCCACACAGACAGAGAGAAAGACAGCGTAGACAATATGAAGTAAGATATATAACTAGACGAGAAAGAGACAAAACAAGATTTTCTTTTTTTTTTACAAAACCTTCCACGCTCGAGGCACTGCGCCCCCTCCCCTCTCCTCCACCCCCTCCACCGCCCACCCACCGGCCCAGCCAACCACTCACCCGAAACTATTCTACCCAACCTCACTTATCCACCCACCCACCCAAACACCAACCCACCCACCCACCCAATCGCCCCCACCTTGTCAACCCACTCATCCAACCACCCACCCTCACCCACCCACCCACCCTTAGCGACCCTACCTACCCACCCTTACCCTAACTACCCACCAAGCCCACCCACCCACCCTTACCCACCCACTCACCTACCAAGCCCACCCACCCACCCTACCCACCCTCAACACCTCTCCTTGTCCTTCTAACGCGATAAACAACCTCCCCTTCTGCTAATAATCTCCCTCAAAATACCTACAAGCGCGTCATCACCCACGCTGTCATCTTCGCGGGCGTGTGGGCGTGAAAACACCACCTTAGTTCCGTGGGCGTCTTTGTGCCATTTAAACCCCTCGATGAATGAACAAAACGTGAATAGTAATGAGCCTTCGATTGCAGCCGCGGGAAGGAGACAAGCACGAGGGGACGATGATCACTCTCTTCCCCTCTTCCTTCCTTCTCCCTTCCCCGTCCCCTCTTCCTTCCTTCTTCCTTCCCTCTTCCCTCTCCCTTCTCCCTTCCCCCTCCCTTCCCTCTCCCCTCTCCCTACCCCTCACCTCTCTTTACCCCTCCCCTCTCTCTTCTCCCTTCCCCCTCCCTTACCCCCACCTCTTCCCTCTCCCTCACCCCCCTCCCCCTCCTCCCCCTCTCCCTCTTCCCCTCCTTTACCCCCTTCCCTCCCCCACCCCTCCCCCCTATCTTCCTCCCTCCCCTCTCCCCTTCCCTCTATCTTCCTCCTCTCCTCTCCCAGTGTCATTCGCACAACATGGCTCAATTTGCAATAATCTGCATGCAAGATTACGGAAGGCGGATGCGACAGCCGCTCGGCCTCGGCTGCGGACGAAGGGATCCGGGCGAGAAGGACACTTGAGGCTCGTAATTTTGTTTTTATTATTATTGTTATTTTTTATTTATCTTATTTTTTCATTATTATCTTTTTTTTGGGGGGGGGGGGCGGGGGGCTTTTCTTTTTCTATCTGCGTTTATTTTTTTTATTTCATTTTCCTTTCTTCTTTCTCTACTTCTTTTTCTTTATTGTTTTTTTTCTTTTCTAACTTTCTTTTTCTCTCTTCTTCCTCTTATTTTTATTCTTATTAAGATTTTATTTTCTTCATCTACCTCTCCTTTTCTTCTTTTCTTCTCCGTCTTCCTCTTCCTCATTTTGCCCTTCTCCTTCTCCAATTTCTTCTTCTTTTTTCTCTATTTTTTCATCTATTTTTTCCATCCTCCTCCTGCCCTTCTTCTTCTTCTTCTTCTTTTCTTCTTCTTCTTCTTTTTCTTCTTCTTCTTCTTTTCTTCCTCTTCTTCTTATTATTTTCTTCTTCTTTTTCTTTTCTTCTTCTTTTTCTTCTTTTTCCTCCTCCTTCTGCCCTTCTGATTCTAATTTTCTTTATCTACTGCTTCTTCTTCTCTTCCTTCTTCTTCTTCTTCTTTTTCCTCTTCTTCTTCTGCTTCTGATTTTCTCCATCTACTTTTTATTCTTCTTCCTCCTCTCTGTCCTTCTTCTTCTTCTTCTTCTTCTTCTTCTTCTTCTTCTTCTTCTACTACTACTACTACTACTACTATATACTACTACTACTATTTTTTCCTCCTCTTCTTCTGATTCAAATTTTCTTCATCTATTTCCTTTCTTCTCTTTTTTCAGGTGGATGAGATATTTATATCTATATTCATGCCCATCTAATCCCTCATTTGTTTGTCTATCTGGTCTATCTATCTATCTATTTATAATCTGGTTATCTGCCTACCTACTTATCTATCTATCTACCCGCTTACCTAAGTATGTATCTAACTAACTGCCTATCTCTTGCTCCGTCTCTCTCTCTCTCTCTCTCTCTCTCTATCTATCTATCTATCTATCTATCTATCTATCTATCTATCTATCTATCTATCTATATCTATATCTATATCTATCTATCTATCTATCTATATATATATACATATATATATATATATATATATATATATACACACATATATACATACTCGTATATTTATTTATCTGCACCTGTGTGTATGCCTGTTTGGCCGCACGAGCCTCTGCGCCGGACGGAACGCCCGACCTCCTCCCTCTCGGCGCCTCGCGAGGGCCGACCGGCGCCGCCCGCAGCGCCGCGCAGGAAACCAAGCCTTACCATTTCCGTTACAGTCGCCGCGT